CAACAGATCTGCAACATCTTAGCATGCCAGTTGATAAAGGCCCCTAGAGGACCAGCTGAGTGGACAGACATAAGAGGACACAGAGCAGAGCATAAGGATCACCAGCAGACCTGAAAGCAAAGGCAGTGCTTATAGAGGAGCAGATACTATGACCACAACAAGAGAGCCTTAAAATCAACATGTCTTAAACTACAGAGCTTGCAACACTCCCTGCACTAGATGTACAAATAGCATTAGCTTAAAAATCATAAGAGTGACACTGATCTAGGTGAGCAATAACGTTAACGACAAGTGTGCTCCCATAAAAGAACAGGAAAGCTGCACATCACACTACAAGCTGCAGAGCAGACCTGGAAGTCAAGTCAAAGCTGACGTTAACATGAAATTCATAAGGACATTTATCACATTCTTGGTGAAAGATCTGAAAGAACAAACTGGGGGAAGACTTTGTCAAGTCCAAGCTGAATTAACTGCGGCTATAGATGTCAGCATACAAACTGCCAGTCAGCCATAAAACAAAAGGTGTGAGATATGCAAAACAAAAAAGAAATATGCAAAACAGAAGCAGTATAAACCAATCACAAAGGCTACATAACAGCAATAATAGACACACGCACAACAACATTAAATTGAAACACCTATTAACACAGAATGCACAAAAGCATAGATATGCACTATGTAACAACAAATGCAATATAATTTTTTTTTAAATGAATACTAAAAGAAAAAGTACTCACAAACACAGAGTGCACAAGTACACAATACAAAATAGGAAAAAAGAACTGAAATGAAAAACGAAATAAAATCCACAATTTAATACAAATGGGCACAAACCATGCAAACTACAACACATACGTCCACACTGAGGCAAGGTTATGCAAGTTTATTCATATAGTTCACTTCATGCACAATGGTAATTTAAATTTTAAGAAAAATGCGCTTCACAAAAAGGAATTAAAATAATCAAATACTCATAAAAGCAAGAAATTAAAACTTTGAAGTGATTTAAAAATTGATTTAAAATTAATTAAAATGGTTAAGAATACAGTGCACTGATAAGAACAGAAGAAACCGGTTAGTTTTGACTTAAGTTAA